TCCAGTCTCTCCCCGTGCCCCGTAGCGCCTCTCACCCTGGGTGCCCTCCAGCCCCCCTGCGGTGACATCGAACTCCCGCTCGTCGGACACGAACACGACCTTGCTAGCGCCAGCGTCATCCGCGTTCTGCACCAGCTCCTGGATTCAGGGATCAGTGACCAGACACCTGGACCCCCCCAGCCCCCAGAGGAAAGCACCAACCCGCTCTCCCAGCTGGCCAGCGAGGCTCAGGGGCTGGTGCTGGGCAAGGACCACTGCCCACTGCAGCTGCCCAGCTGGGCAAGAGAGACATGGCTGGGTTCCCCAGGGATCTCACCTTGAGGATTTGCCCCCCATCGGGGTACTTCTGCAAGATGCTGTGCAGGTAGTCAAGGAAGATGGGTGCCCGCTGGCAGAAGGCCACCCTGCAAGGCAGAGAGAAGGGGCGGGGGTGCGGGGGGAGCTCGCCACCATGGGTAGCCAGGACCCAGTATCCAGGATCCTCAGGTCCCTCATGATGTCCCCCTCTTGGATAGTCAATCTCATCCCAGGACCTACTGAAACAACCACCTCCAAAGACACCCCCCCTATCCTCCACCTCCCCAAGCCCCCCATCTCTTCCTGGGATCCTCCAGAAATCCTCCAGGTCTCCCCACTAACCCCTGAGCCCCCAGTCCCACTAATGATCCCTGGAACCCTCCAGCCATCCCCCATGTCCCTCATAAAACCCCAGTATCACCCCCGGTGCCTGCCCTCCCCGCCCCAGCCCCACGCACGCATTTGGCTCCCTGAGGGCCATGTGGGACGCTGCTGGGGGCTCGCTCAGGTCTTGCCGATGCGATGTGCTGGGCTCTGCCACCCCTGGACATCTGGGTCTCACAGCTCGGTGGCCCTGGTCCCACCCCCGTGAGCCTGCAGTTTCGTTTCCCCGCTGTACACGCCTCTCCGCTCTTTTAACCCTGAAAATTGCAGCGCCAGGGAGGGGGGGATGGGAGACGTGTCCAGGAGGATACAGCGACGGATCGAAGGGGTGGGGAAGGGTCTGGGGCCATGGCTATGGGGCAGGGACACGGGAATATGGCTATGGGGCAAGGATCATCAGGTCATAGCAACGGGAATGTGGCTTTGTGGTGGGGGCCATTGGGCGATAAGAGTATGGCTAGGTCATGGGGGGTAGGGGGGGCATGTGGAGGTGGCTATGGGTCGGGGACCATGGCAATGGGGCAGGAGGGGCATGGGGATATTGCTGCAGGGATGGGGCCATTGGGGTATGACAATGGGGCAAAGGTACATGGGAATGTGTCTACGGGGCAGAGTACCATGGGACCACAGCTATGGATCTGGGGCCATGGAGCCGTGGGCATGGGGCAAGGGCCTTGGGGCTGTGGCTATGGGGCAGGGGCTACAGGGCTATGTCTATTGGTCATGGCCCACAAGACCATGGCAGTGGGATGGGGTCCACTGGGGTATGGCAGTGGGGCAAGGGCCATGGAGATATGGCTATGGGGTAGGTGGCCATGGGGCCGTGGCAATGGGGGAGGGAGCCATGGGTGCAGAGCTATGGGATGATGGAGTTACATAGGACACTGGGGAGATTGACGACACGGATTCCGATGTTAAGATCGAAGACCCTTTATTATTCAGGAAGCTGCGTTTTTATCCCCCTACAAAGTTGTCAATCCCCCCCAACATAAGTGCTTATTGGTTAACATACATTACTCACACACCTATTCTAACATTTGATTGGCTAGCTTAACTACGCATGTCTTTTTTTTCCCCTGTCACAATAACTTTTTTGCTCTGGGCATTCTTCCAAAGTCCTCTATTGTTCACTGATAACTTTCTTATTTTTCTGTTATTCACAAACCTTCAAGGTCTGTTGTGACCTTATTTTTCTGTTATTCAAAGCCCTTATTTTTCTGCTATTCAAAAGCTTTCAAGAGCATCATGGCCTTCATTGATGTAAAATGTCTCCACAGGACATAGCTATGGGGTGGGATTGCTGTGAGCAGGGGCACATCACTATGCCATGTGGGGACACAGAGACATAGCTGTGGGGTGGCATTGCTGTGCATCAGGGAGACACTGGGATGTGGCTATATGGTGGGGGCATGGAGGACATGGCGGTGGAGACCACTTGGAACGTGTGAAGATAAGAACACCTGTAGGACACACTGCCTTGGGGTGAGTGTAGGACAAATTTCAGGGGATGCAGTGGGACACCTCTTCAGGGAAGACCCCTTGCCACCTTCCTTCTGTCACCTTGCTCCTGACTGCAGTGGTGTGCAGGTCAGCGCTTCATGGCTTTGATCCCTCTCCATGCAGATTCACACTCTCTCAAGATCTTCATTCCCGTGAGCCTCAGAGCTGTGGTGGGACTGGGGACAGCCAGGAGCATCTGCTACACGTGCCAGTGCTGGGATGTGATGCTCCTCCTCTGCAGGGATGGAGATGGAGTTCCCCAGCAGTGCCAGGACCTACCAGCCAGCCAGGTGGACAGAGGGCCCCATGCCTGCTGCTGCACCAGAAGAATGGTGCCAGCTGTCCCACTGGAGTCCCTAGAACTGGCAATTGCTATGTTATGTGATAAAAAACTCATCTGCAAGAGCAGAGAGCACAGACAACCCATGGCAAGTGATGGTATAACTGCTCAGCAATGGTAATTTGTGACCAAGGAATGATCTGGCATGGCAGGTGAGGATGTCCAACTCCAGAAAGGGTTAACCTGGCTGAGAGAGTGAAATTTCCCTTGCTAATGAGGTAGGAAGTGTAGCAGCCTTGTCTTGTAGCCATCATGCAATGCAATCCCTGAGGGGCCACCTCTGGTCAGCAGAGCTGGCGCTGGGGGATGAACCCACGCTCACGGGGCTGGTGCTTTGGTGCTGGTGCAAGTGTGTATGAGGAATTGGCTCGTGTCGCATCTTTTCAGACACCTTGTAGAACTGCTTATGGTGGTAGGACTCCGTCCAATACATAGTTCATTAAAGCTTTTTATATTTAAACTCAAATCCACCTCAAGGGGTACAACAAGGGCTACATCCTGATGAGCCAGAGAGGGGAGCAGGATGAAGCTGGCTGGCTGTGTGAGTGCTCTGTGTGCCTGCATCAATCTGTGTGGCTGGCTGTATATATGTGTGCGTGCATGTGTTGTATAGGTGTCCCTGCGCGTCTGCCTGCTGGAAGTACACCGCTGGTTCCACCATGGGTTGGACCTGAGGGCATGAAGCTGTGGCAGCCTCGTCGCTCTCAGGCTGCTGGATGCAGCAACCCCTAACAGTGGTGACGGAGGGCAAAGCTCTTTCCATGGTCCCATGCCCTGGACCTGCACCCAGAGGTAGGTCTCCAGCTGGGGGATGCGAGGAAAGGCTCTGCAGAGGAAGGCCCAGGAGTTCAACATGCCCATGGATGGGCCCCGCGGCAACGCCATCAACTCTGTCCCAGACTGTGTCAGCCGGGGCGTAGCTGGCAGGGGGGTGAGCCAGGGCCTTGTTCGCCACTGGGCACTGCTGAGGCCACAGCAGTTTGGTGTCCCTCGGTCCAGTGTGGACAGTGGAGGCTGTTGGGACAAATGGGCTGAGGGAGGCTGCCCAAAGGAGATGCCAAGAATTGGTCAAGCCTGGGGGAGGCAAATGACGGGGTTAGCTGGGAGTCAGGGCCAGAAGAGGTGCCCCAGAAAAGAAGGCAGCCATAGGACACCCTGCTGCCAAACTTCTCCTACCCCATGATATAGCCAAGGGAGACCAGAAAGGCTGAAGGGGGAAGAAAGTAAAGGGTAGAGAGGATGTAGGGGAGACCGTGTAAGGCAGCCAAGAGCCCTGGAGAAGCCCTGTGGCTGCTTCACCTTTTTCCCCTAGATTACAACCATGTAAACACCATCTGCCCAGTCCTGAGCCCTGCAGATTTGTTCCTGCTGGGGCCAATCGTGGCAGAGGTTGTGCACAGTCAGGGGAGGGCAGGACGTGCCTGCCTGCAGCTTCCAGGAGGGCAGAGAGCCACAGATACTGCAGCCTTCACCATCGGGGGATCCCTGGACAAGCTGCCACCTGTCCCAGACAGCTCCAGTCCCACAACCCATCCTTTCCTTGCTCTTCTCACTCTCACATCACCCAAAGGTGCAAGCAACTTCCTCTGTTTAATTAACCCTTTGGTATTGCCAAAGGGAGCTCTGTCTGCACCACTGGCCAACCCAGACGAGGTGGCAGCTGAGCAGGCTGAAGGCCAGGCTCCATGTGTGGTGGAACTGAGCAGTTATTTCGAGTAGTGACCTTGCCACTGATCCAGAATAGGACTGGGGAGGCCTGGATGGATGAGGAAAGGGGCCAACTCTGTGGGGTGGATCCAGACCGACAGGTAGGAATTATTGCTGTCCCTCCTCCAAAGAAAGACATTATAGGCCAAGTGGGACGAAACAGCCCCTGAGGAGGTCAAAAGGGAAGCCAAGTTACTTCCCTCCTATTCACTCTGTGGAGCCGCCAAACCTGCCCCACAGCTGTGGGGAAGAGCACAGCCTGGACATAGGCTGTGGCTGGAGCCAGTGTCCTTTGCCCCTCCACCACCTGGTCTGCACTGTGGTGGGGGGCACGGTGCAGGGTTTCTGGGCATGACGAGGGTACATGACGTGGTGCAGAGGTCTTCCCGGACCTCAGTGAGAAAGGCCTGACAACAAATGGAGTAATAAAATACCTGTTGTAATGACATAGAATAAAGAAGAGACTATAGAACGCAAGTAAATCTTACACCTCTTCAGATGCTGGGCACATCTCCACAGATGGGGTTTGCACAGCATGCCATGCGAAAATCTATCCGGGGGTCCATCAGTGCTGCAGGAAAGTGGGGTGCCCTGCTTCCGAAGGGGTGTGAGATTTACTTGCTATCTAGAGTCCTCTTTTTATTCTGTCTTATTAAAGCACCTATTTTATGACGCCACTTGTTGGAGCTTTCTCACTGAGATTTGGAAAGTCCTGCCCCATCTCTTCTCCCCACCCCGGTTGCAAAACATCACCCTATTTCACAAGGGCTGAGCAGAAGCCATTTCCTCATCAACTGACCAGAGTCAAGAAAGAGAAATGAAAAGCCCTGACAGCTTCTTTTCTAAGGTCCGCCGGATCCTATGACCAGGTCGTCACTGCTGCCCAGCCCTGGGACTGGGACATTCTGGCTCCAGCTCAACCACCCAAGACCTGAAATTGTGTCTGAAGAAACCCAAGCTGTGGGACAAAAGGTGGCTTGTGGTAACGAGAGCACAACAGGACCCACAGGAAGCCACCCAGCTGCTCAGTGCCTTCAGCCGAAGCCTTCCTCTGAAGTTCTGCTTGAGCGAAGGACAGCGGGATCCGACAGGGACATGATGCTGCCCGTGACCCACATGCTAGCCTTCAGTAAGTGTCAGATGTTGTTTGGGCTCCCAGAGAGAGACATGAGCTGTCTGGGGACTCCACAGAGATGTTACATGGCTGTTTCTCTTCCAGGTGCTTGGCTGGTGGCACAGAGCAAGGCTACACCAAGTGAGTATCGTGAGGGGGTAGGTGGGGAGTTCAGACACATCCCTGGTCCCCCACCCATCTCCCAGGGCTCTTCCCTATCCCCATAGAACAAAACTTGCCCCTGTGTGGAGATGGGGCCTGGAGCCAGCTCCAGGCTCACCGCAGGGCAGCTGGGCGCTGGGGACTGTCTGTCTGTCTGTCTGGCAGCACCTCTCTCCCTGTGCAGGTGCCCCCACAGTCTCCATCTTCCTGAAGCCGCCTGGGGTGATCCCACCGGGAGGCTCCACCACCATCTGCTGCAGTTGCCAGTGCGACAATGGGAAATTCGTGCTGTACAGGAAAGGCAACCCGCACCTGGAGCTGCGTGGCAGCAGGGCCGAGTTCCCCATCTCTAATGCCACCACCGAGGACGCAGGTGCCTACAGCTGCCATTACATGGATGGAGACACCGTGCTGGCTCGCAGTGAAATCCTGGATGTCATGGTGCAAGGTGAGGGATGTGCTGTTACCCCTTTGCGTGGGGTCAGACGCCACACGGGCAGACCGGGATGCACGGAGCAACACAGCTTCCCTGTCCATGTGATGGGCAGGGTTTTTCCCCTTTTCCCTGGCTTGGAGAGGTGGGGACGATCTTCACCTCTGCCTGAGCCACGTGGTGGGGTCATCTAGATCCTGGTGGCTCCCAGCACCATGTCAAATCCCTGCATAGCTTCTCATGCCCTCTCCTCTCCACACAGAGTTCAGTCTCCCCACACCCGTCCTCTCTGTCCTGCCTGGGCAGGAGGTGGCTGCAGGAGCTTACGTCATTTTCCGTTGCACCATCGCACACTCCAGTGCCAGCTGTTTCCTGTACCTGGAGGGCCAGGTCAAAACTCCTGAACTCCTCTATAAGGATCGAGATGATTTCAATCTCTCCCATGTGCATAAAGGCAATGGGGGCCGCTACAGCTGCCAGTGTTTCACCAAGGGTTCTTTGCTCAAATGGTCTGCTGTCAGCAACGCCCTGGATTTGGTGGTGAGAGGTGAGACATCCCCCCCCAGCCGCATCCTACTCTCCTCTTCCTCCCTGGCCTCTGTCACATCCTGGGGAAACTAGAAAAGAGGATGTGGCGGGGGAGAAGAAAGCAGCTGTAACAGGGGTCCAAGCAGAGGATTTCAGCTTCCTTCCGATGTGTCTGAGCTTTGCCAACTCCTCAGAGACCCTACAGCTTGGACCCTACAGACACAGGGTTGCCAGCTGGGGGTAACGGTTGGGGGACACCCACGCCTGCACCTGCCAGCCCCCATCGCAGCCCAGTGCAGTCTGGCTGGCAGTGGCAGGTGAGGGCCAGCTCCACGCTCTGTCCTCCCTCCCGTCCTTGGTGCCGCTGAGCAGGGTGACAGGGCAGAGGCTGGGGGTAGGGACTGCCCGAGCGGGCAGGGACGCGGTTGGTAGAGCCGACAGGAGCCCTTCGGGCTCCCTCCGAACTTCCCCTTATCCCTCTTCAGCCCAGGAGCTCCCCAGTGGGTCCCCTTGTCCACGCGTGCCCCTCCCGCCCCCGCGGGACTCCTTTGGTCCGGGAGCTGCGCGGGGTCTCCTCCCGGTGACCGTCCCTTTCTGTCCCCTGCAGATTACACCTGGAACAACGCGGTGCGCCTGGCGCTGGGGGCCGCGCTCCTGCTCCTGCTGGGGCTGTTCGTGGCTGACGCCGTGCGCGGCCCCGCTGGGCCGGGGCGCGGCTCCGCGCGGCCGCTGCGGGACCGAGGGCCCAGCGCGCTCCGCGGCGAGCGGGACCGGTAAGGGAACGCCGGGACTGCCCCGGTTCTGCGCATGCGGGGGCGCGAGCGGGGCCCTGCGGAATGGGCGGGGCTCGGGCCTGGGGGCGGGGCTCGGGGCTCAGCCGCCCGCCCCTGCCCCGCCCCGCCCCGCCCCGCCCCGCCCGTCTGTCCGTCCGCTCCCGTTCCCGCCAGAGCCCAGGGGCGGCAGCAGGGCTGAAGAACGAGGCTCCAGCTGCAGACTTCCATTGCTCACATTCGTTTATTATTTTAAAACACGGACGAAATACATCACACCATCATCTATATATATAAATTTACTTTTATACAGATATAAATTTATATATATAGGACCTTTAAACCTCTGTATACTCAGGACACAAAGTTCCAGAACAGCTTCACTGGCTACAACAAAAGTATTTTTGTTATGAAAACACATAGAAGAGGTGTGAATATCAAAAATGCAGAAAAAGGAAATTAAAAACGAGTGCAAAATGAATGAAAGTGCAAAAAAGCTTTTGTTATCATAATCACACTCCTTCCAAAATACGTCCCCCCTCCCCTCCCCCCCCCCTTTCCTCCCTCCAAGGACGAGCGAGCCTCAGGCCCCAGAGGCCAGGGGTGGATTGGAGGGAGCCTGGATGCAGCTCCCAGATTTTTCCCTCTCCTCTGCACCGAGGGGTCCGCTCCCGGGGGTTAAGGAGTGAGGAACAAAGGAGAAGTGGCCAGGTCACATCCCTCTCACACCTCCCTCCTCTCCTCCACCTCCTCTCATTGCACTCACGTCCCCAGATTTACCTCTGCAGGTGGCAGCTGCCCTACGCCCTCAACCCTCCTGGGCAAGTTGGAGGGTTGCATTGGCTAAAAGTGCTTGTGCCCGACCTGGACATCACTGGAAAGCAGAAGCAGGCAGCTGTGCTCCGCCGAGGTGGGCATGGCCACTCTCCTCACCAAGCTTCAGGCTGGATCCTCTCACAGAAATGGAGACCTTGGCCCTTGCACCACCCCGATGCTGCCCATTTCCCCACGGAGGGATAAGCACTTTCCTGAGAGGCTCCAACTGCTCCCACGCAGCTGGAGTCACCTGCAGGCCAGCCCCCCCAGAGGACACCCTGTGCCCGCGGCTGGAGCATGTGCTGGGACATTCCCACGGCTCCAGCTAAGTCTTGCCAACACCGTCTGCAGTGGCAGGAGCGACAGAAGCACAGGCTTGGGGGCCTCCGCTCAGAAAAACATTTGACTTGAAAAATTCTTCACTGACTTAGAAATTTTGGCTGCAGTCACATCTCTCAGGAAGACCCCAGAGGGGAACCTCTGGGCCACTCAGCCCCATTGCCCTCTCCAGCTTCTCAGCGACATGGCAGCGGCCACCCCTGGGAGGAGTTTGGTCAGGCAACAGGGGAAGGATGAAAACCTTTGGTGCTTCTGCCTTGGTCACTGCTGCCCTTGATGCTCCCTGAGTGGGGACTCCCAATCAATGCTCTGTGGAGGACCTGCCAAGGCCAGGGGTGCAGCAAACCTTCCTCCTCCTCCTCACTTCCCTGCTGGGACCAGAGACAACTTCTGCTCATGGAGGACACATTGCCCGAGACCCTGGGACCACAGAGCCTGCCACCTCCACAGCCACAGAGACCATCACATTAAAACAGCAACACACCAACAGCAGGGGAAATGGTGTCATGGTACTTCTACAAACACCCAACCTTACACACACACACACACACACACACACACACACACTGCTTTGGGTTTGGTTTGGTTTTAAAAGGAAACAAGGTTATAAGTTTTAACAGTAAATAGCCCTTGACCACCTAAAAACCCTGTAACTCTCTCATCCAGATGAAGCCAGAAATTCTGTACCCAACTAGCTGAGTCAGCCCCAGAGGCTGCTCAAGACAGCAGGGAAGTGTGTGCAACAGAGACCTTCCCATCTCACATCACCCTTCCCGTGGGGCTGCTCCCTGCACAGAGCTCAGACCCAGCGGAGACCTGGGCTCCAGCTGTGCAGCCAGACCCACAGCCAAGGGGGAGCACCTTAGCAGTCCCATCCAGTTTGCGTCTGCTCTCTGAGAGGGAGGTCAAAAGAACCCAGGTGGGGCAGCACCCCCACGGGCACAGCTTCCTTCCGATGCCCGCGGCTGGCGCGGCTGCATCACGCCCCTCCAGAATACTGCTGGTGCCCAGGCAGAGCACGGCTTGACCGCATCCCACAGCAGAGCAAGAGCTGGTGCTGTTGGTTATACCCAGTCTTGTGGGCCGGCCGTGGCTCGGCTCATGGCTCCTCTTCCCCTTCAGCAGGGATCTTCTGAGCTCACCATCACCTCTGCTCTCCAGGGCAGCCCCGTGAGACAAGGCCCTCCATCCTTCACGCTAATTTCAGATCTAACATCTGGGTAGGAACGCCTCTCCCAGCACCCAGGGATGGTGCTTAGTCCCTTCTCCAACAGCACGAGGGAACGGAGCAGATGAGAACAGGATGCTTTCGTAAGATGTTTCCTTCTAAGCCCAATAACCATGTCCTGTGCAAGGGAGCTGTTCTGTTCCAGATCATACCTGGAGAGGTCTCAGCACCATTCGCACAGACTCTCACAGCTGAAGGTCCCAGGGCTCCTCCTCTTCTCCCCCAGCGCAGTGGCCCAGAGAGCCTCCCAATCAACTGAAGAGACCAACTTCAGGACCATTAACTGCAGACCAAGGGTGACTTGAGAAGTGACTGTGGGACCCAGGGACATGGCTGTTCCTTCCCACTCCCCTTCTCTCCACAGCTGGCCACACTGTAATGCTTGAAGAGATGGAAGAAAATAAGAAAGGAAAGGACAGGGAGAGCTGCCTAAATCAAACCCAAGCATTGACAGAACAAATACACAGAGTAGTTGAAAATCCTGCATGAAGAGCAAGCAGCAGACGTTTCAAGAGCAGGTCAAATGTGACCCCAAATATTCAATTAGAAAGAGTCAAAATGCTACATTTCCATGGGAAGCCGAGAACAGATTGACCCAGGTGTGACAGTGGCTCCCAAGGCAGCGCTGCTCCAAGACACATTGCTGGTGCACTTGCTAAGATCCCTTCATCCCCATCTTTGGGCACCGGGGAAGTAAGAAAATTGTCTTGCTACTGATACATCATTCTTGGGAATCAGAAAGACAGCAGACATGGGATTTGGATCACATCACTGCAGACTATGGAGAGCCCTTGGGGCAGGAGGCTGCCCTCCAGCACGGCACTGCCACACCACTGCTCCAACAGCACCCACAGCAGGCGTGCACAGGAGGATGACAGACCACAGCGAGAGCAACACGGGTGATGCCAGGACACGTGGGGACTATCAGAAGCTGCCTGGGATGCTGCCAGGACCCCCCAGGCAATGCTGGCTTTCCTGGCTCTGGAGTTTTACCCTACTCAGCCTCCCTTCCATTACAGGGGACAGCATCACACGGGCATTCCCAAAGTGCCTGCACCCTTGTTGAAGAGGTGCTATGTTGCTAAAAGGACATAAAAAAACCCAGTTAACTGCTGAATTTCTTTTAGCTCTGCAGGCAAGGAATCCAGGGACAGAAGAAGATCCTGCTCCTCAGACAGCAAAACCTGGGGGCCTTGTGAGGGCAAAAAAAGGGGGGGAAGGCAGGTGGCAGGATCGAGTCAGACAACTCAGGAATGCCTTCAAAACTGAGCCGTGGATCTGCCTACAGAGGAATGGATGCTTCTTGTCCTTGGCAGCTGCCTCTGCTCTAGCAAGGGCCTTGCTCCTAATACATGGACCAAAAGAGGGCCCGACTGTCCTTTGCAGAGGACTTTAACTGCTGCAAGGGGAGTATGTTAATCAAGCATCCTTTCTCCCAGAGACATGCTGTCTGAGACAGTCTGAAGCACAAGAAGAAATGGAGCTTGTTCTGCACCCACCCAGCCCTGGCCCCGTAGGGATGCTGCATTACAGTAAAGAGGAATAAAGCAGAGATGCTGGTCATGAACAGAGCAGCAGCCAGGACACACTGCTCCCTGGAAGGGGCAAGAGGCGGGCCACTGGTTTCCAGTGCAGTGAAGGGGCAGAGCAAAGTCATAATCTGGCATTAAAAGGGAAAGTCAAAAGATTTCAGAGATAAAGGCAAAGTGAGCTCCTTGAGAGCGTCCCTTGGAAATGATGTTAGTCCAAGCACCCCCAGAGGAACACACTGAGGGGGGAAAAAGTATAATCTCTCTCAGCTGCTGAGCAAAGCAAAGACCAGCCTTTAAACGGGTGCAAGTACGTACGCGGGCAGTGATTCCCTTCCCTTATCTGGGTGACTTGAGTAATGGTGTCAGCCCCCAGCTGCCACCCCCTCTGCACTGCTCCCTCATCCCTCAACACACCCCCTCGAACCGGTGTAGTCACAGCAGGACACGGGGGGCAGCTGTTGCGCTAAGACAGGCCAGTCCCACACTCACCCCCCGTCCCTGCAGCCGCCCCTGAGGCCTGGGGTCAGCCTGTACCCAGTGCTGGAGGAGAAGGGCAGTGTGGAGTGGGGGAGAGAGGATGGAAGATGGACTGGTAGGAGAGCAGAGATGTGACATCTGAGAGGAAATGAGCAGGACATGACAAGCTGCAGTCGGTCGGGGGGAATCTCTGTCCTGACCAGACAGTGTGGCAGCACCAGTGCTGAGGGAGGGTCCCGGTTGGGCCAAGAAAAGTCACTTTAAGGTGTCATCAGCGTTCTTGAACATGAGGATGGCATTGTAGATCTTGAGTGCTGGGCCCAGCTTGACACTCATAATCTTGACGATGTCAGCCTGTGTCAGTAAGAGGAACGCTTCACCATCGATCATCTGCAGAGGAGAGCAGGGACAAAGGCACTCACCAAAAACCCAGACTGTGACTTCCTAGGGACAGCCAGTATGGGCACGACCTGGGGATGTGCACAGTGGCACTCAGCCTCAGCCAGGTACCAGAGAGGATCCCAGCGAGTAGGGCAGGGGCCCCTGACAGCACTTCCACACTGCCCCAGATAATCCAGAGCTGGGAGCTCATGTGCCCAGGAATGGGGCAGAGAGGGGGAACGGCCCTTCCAGGGGCAGCCCCAGGAGCTCACACTGCAGCCAGCCCGGGCTTCTGCGCCAGACAACAGGCACAGAGCACAGCCAGCAGGCAACCTACTCTGGGCAAACACCCGTCCATTCCCTGGCTCCCGGTCCTGGCATGCATGGAGGCTGCCCCCAGCTCAGCTTTATGTGCCTGAGCACCCTTAAAGCACAAGGGCCATTTACTAACAGGCTGGGACACTTGCTGTACCCAGCATGCCCAGGATCAGCCTGGCCTGGGAGTATTGCACATGCTGGAAAGCAGCCCCTCTGCATGGCTGTCTACAAAGGGGTCAAGAAACAATGAACCTGGCTGACAGACAGAAACACCACCGAGGTGCTGCGCTGCTGAGAGACTGCAGGTGGAGAGGGATGAATGGGTGAGGAGTAAGCAGCTTCCCTCAGGTGATGGTGCTGTTAAGGTTGCAGCACTATCCTCCTCCCACTCCCCCATCCTAGCCTCCCCTCACCCATGCCTGGAAAACAGGGCAGCACGGCTCCTTGGGGGTCAGCATCTCCCCTGCTGCCAACATCCGGACAGGCAGACAGCTTCACACTTGAATGCAGTGGGGCGGCTGCTGCTCCCAGGGCTGCAGGGTGGGATCACTGCCAGGTGCTCGACGTGCTTTCAGCATTCAGCAGCAATCCACTGCAGGAAGGCCACTGGCCAATTCCCCCCTGCCCTGTCAGCAACAGCTCTCCTTGGTCACCTGCACTCATCCAAGTGTCCTTCTCACCTCATCCTTGAAGAGCTTGGCTTGGTCCTCACAACCCGTCAGAGTCTGAACAAAGCTAAAGACCTTGGAATAAACAGAGAAAAATGTCAAGACAGAAGCAACGTTTCTGGCTGGAGACCCCCCATGAGCCCATATCCTCACTTCTACAGAGGCATTTTGCAGCCTGTAAGATAACGTGACTGTTAGGACCCAGGCTGCAGGTGCAGCACCCTCCCAGGCCTAGAGATCACCCTTGGACCAGGGCACAGGTGCTGGCCTCCTCCAGCCCCTGAGCAGAAATGCTGCAGCAGCTTCATCTCCAACAAACCAAGATGATTCCCACTGAGAGGTGGGGGCAGGAGAGGGGCACACAGGAGGGTAATGGGGACATCAGGCAGGTCTGGCTGCTGGGGCTGGTGTCAAAGTTCCAGCTACCCAGGCCTTCAGAGAGGCCATCACAGACGCCCAAGAAAGTGCATGAAGGTGAAAATAAAGAACCTGAGGTAAAGGTTTATTTTTCAGAGAAACAGGGAAGTGATTTCTTAGCTGCAGAGCCTATGGTTTAATTTTTTAACTTGGCAAAGATGAAACTGATTTTTTTTTTGAAAACTAACATGCTAAATGAAGAGACTGCTGTCTGCCTTCACCTGTCTGCCCTGGGCTAGTGTCAGACTCAAGTCAAGCAAGAACCTAGAGTTCTGCATGTGCTTCCCAGAAGCTGCCATCAGGGCTCATGTCTGGCAGCTGTTCACACAGTACCCCACAAGCGTGTCCAGCAGATCGCCTTCTCACTAGCCCAGGGAAGAGGTTGCTGAAGCACCTCCGTGCCTGGTGCATGTATCATGGTGTTGCACATCCAGGTAGAGAGCTCCCAACCGTGCCAGTGGGTTAGGAGCCAGCATGCAGTCTTTAAAACTATCTTACCTCATCAATGGTCCACTTGGCCACCGTAGTTGCTGTGATGCCAGCCACCCCCGGCAGGAGCTTGCAGTGCTGCTCCCAGCAGAGCGACAGGGAGCGGTCGGGGTGGGCAGATAGGGCAGACATGAAGAGAGACTGGTGCATATTGTCTGAAGAAATAGCTGGCAATGCAAACGTAAGATGTGATGCAAGGTAGAAGGACGAGAACATCCCATCCCATCCTATCCTAGAAGCCTTGGGAAGGGCCCCATTCTGGGGAGGGCCCAAGCCTGGCAGCAGATGGTCTCATGGGTCCAGGTATCAAGAGCTAGTGGTTCTTGAATTAACAGGACATCAGTGTATCCAGGATGTTCAGTTTGGTGGGACTGGGGATGGCAGGGAAAGAAGTTTAGAGACAAGCTTGGCTTTGCTTTGCTCTCACCACCTTCAGTCATCCATTTTCCACACTGAACTAGACTTCAATTAAATTTCACACCAGAATGCCATCCCGTATCACTCAGTTAATTCCACATTTTTAACAAAGCTTTTTTTTTTTTCCCTCGCTCTCTGCTACAAGGAGTCAAGGATGGCTCCCAAGGAGAGATCCTCTTCATTCACCCCCAGCGCTGGGGTAGGCAGCAGGACAGTCCATGGTAAAATGGATACTGACTGGAATAAATGTCAGTCGCTGTATTATGACAGTCATCAGAATGAAATGCCAAGCAAACTGTTCAGCATCAGTTTCTGTGCTGCAACAATAATTTGGCACTTCACAACCACACTGATATTTTGGGGTATAGCAGCCACAGGATGAAGGCACAGCATTCCTGTCTGAAGAGTACAAAGCACTGGGGAAAATGCACTGCCACGGAGAGAGGATCCTAATTCCCTGCCCTAAAGCACTCCAAGATTCACAGACATAATCCAAGACACATGACAAGGGACCTAGCAGAGCTCTGGTAAGAGGCAGGGATGCTCCTTGTCAGATGGTCAACTTCGGCAGTTGACCACAAGCTCCTCACTGGTGCTGACCTGTGTGAGGTCCGAGTGAGTGAGCCAAGGGAGACCTGCCTCCAACAGCCACCACCCCAGCTCCTTGAGCCTTGCCCCTGCAATGACACCATGGCAGAGGACGGCACTTACTCTGGAAGTCTTCCTGCTGGATCTTCCGGTACTTTGGAGGTCGCCCTCTAAAGAGACAGGAAGACTGATTTCCAACTGGGTTGGGACTGGCCCGAGGGTCCTCCTCCACACTGCACAGAGCAATGCCTTGGCAGTGGGAGCAAGGATTACCTCTTGGACCTTGACCCAAAGGGGTGACAGCTAAAGACACAAAACATGGGAAGAAAAAAACCAAGAGTGGTGCCCAACACAGCTGGCAGGACAAATGCCAGCTGCCAGCAACTGTGCTCCCCTGAGATCAAGGAGCCTCTCTGGCTTGACCATCCCTCCCGGGGACAGCAGTCGCAGGGGCCCTGCATGGCTGCATGGGGCTCATCAGACTTGCCCCTACCTCCCGTGGTGCCGAGACTTCTTTCGCTGAGGGAAGCCAATCAGGTTTCTCTTGCGAGTTGAGGCCTCGGTGTCAGACAAGTCTGCCTTAAGCCTGCCCTGGTTCTTCTCTGCCAGCGGGCACCCTGAGAGGCAGTAATGGGCTGTGAATCTCCCAGTCACGTGTCCTGACCCGTCACAACCCGGTGTGGGGCACTTCCTAGAGAACAGAGGTGAGACAAGCATTGGACCTGGCTCAGAGCAGCATGAGGTGGGGCGAGCCGGCGGGGCCACCCCTCTGCCCCTGAGCATGGGGAGCTGCAGCACTGGCTGCCAGAAGCAGAGTAAAGACACGTTGAACAAATTGCAGGGGTGAGGGCGCTGGGTACACAGGCCAGGCACACTCAGTCCAGGTACAAACACCTTCTCCGCTGCTGTAACAGTGACCCTGTGCAAGTCACCATAGTGCTGATCAAGCAGATATCGGAGACAGAGTCTCCATCCTCCCTTCCTTGCCCCCACAGGCATCCAGACTAGCCTCAGAGCGAGGAGGAAGCAAGTGTCTCAAGTGTGGCCAGTAGAGAAACGCTTGTGAGCCAGATCTCCCTTCTCCATCCTCACAGATGGGCCACCATACTTGCTCCAGCCTTACACCGTGCCTGGTTTCCCCTGGAAAAAGTCATGCAAGCGACTGACTGAGCTGGGGGAGATGCACTGTTCCTTCTCGGGACTTCCCAGCTCACAACCTCACAGTGAAAGGCATCCATGAGGGGTGGGAGAAACATCATCCTCAAAGCTGGTATCAGTGAATTGGTACCTTAGAGGCACTGTCCCCTATGTAGCCCATATGTCCCCACAGGTAGGTGGGCACATGAGGCACGTCCAGGGGCTCTGAGTGCCGCAGGACAGGAGCAGAGTAGGAGCTCACAGGAGTTACACTAGCTGCAGGCTCCAGGTTGCCTTGGGGCCTGGCCTGGGGAGAGCAGGGCCACGTGCGGTGGGTGCAGGGAAGGGCTGGTCGCTTGTGGTGGTGGCAGGGGCGGAGGAGTGGAGGAAGGGCCAGCAGGGAAGCTGTGCCCCTCTGAGCCATGCTGGGGAACTCACCTGTGGTGAAAGCTGTACTTGGAGCTCTTGGTGTGAGGGATGTTCTTGCAGCCCAGGGTTGGGCAGCTCCCGTGGGCAGAGGAGGCTGGTTCCTTTGGCCCTAGACAAGGAGAAACAGAAGAGAGACTGTCTCAGTCTTGGCAAAGATGAAACAGAGAGACTGGGGTCTGAGAGGTATGAGGGACTGACCCAGGCACAGGACTTACTGAGAGGAGGCTGCAGTGGGTGTCCAGTTTTTGAGCACCAGCCTATGGGGTGGATGTCTGGATGATCCGCATCAATCCAAAAATCATAGATGTGGCTCCAGCCATCAAAATGGATCTGAGGAGACAAGAAGAGAGGTCACCCTTCAAACCTCAGGGCACCTCCCTGAGGAGCTCTAGAGCCCTCCAAGCTGACAGGAAGCAGCAGGGTAGAGCTGAACACAAGGGTCTCCCCCACTCCTGAAGCCAGGCACTGGAACCTGTCAACTTCTGCATGGTGTGCTTCCACAGACCTCCACATACTTTGCCACTGCAGCTGGCAGTGAGTTGGGAAGGGCAGGAGCAAGTCAGCAGTGTCTAGACACAGGCTCAGCACTGAGACTCCAGCACTCACCTTTATCCTGTGATCTTCCACATCCTCCACACTGGCCACTCGGATGAAGGAAGGAGTCCTTCTGTCTACTGCCTCCAGCTTCATGTTGACCAGGAAGCCATGGGGTTGACGCTGAGGCCAGGAAGAACCAGGTGAGCAGGGCCTTGATTTGGGATCCCACACCCCTCAGCAGTTTTCCCAGCAGCATGCACTCCTCAAGCCCAGCTCCCAGACCTGGCCTGTCCAGGTAAGAGCCATCCCAGCTCACAGTGGCAACAAGAGAGTGGGCACAGGCCTCCTGGATCTGAGCTGTGTTTTAACAAGATGGGAAAGTTGTGCCCAAGAGAAGAATGTCTCCAAGAGACACATTTTGGGGATCTATATTGCAGCCACACTTGGCTAGACACAGCCGCTGTTGCTGTAGTTGGAGACAACAACTATCAAGCAAGCCTAAACAATTTCCCATCGTTCCCATCCCTGTCTAGCCAAGGGCATGGTCATACATCCCATTTTTCCCAGCTTTGAACTGGGAAACGCCCAGGATAGCCCTGACTTCTGAACCTTGAATGCAGATCTGAACCCCAGGCCTGTGGCTGGAGCATACTGAACATCACTTGACTTTTCATAAAAGCAAAGACCTGACAATAGAGAAAACATGAATTCCTGCCCAGGCACGGTGGAGCAGATGATGCGGCACTCACCACTTTAAAGGCCCAGGCTGGGACAGCAGACGCTCCAGTTTCCTTTAGGTACTTTTCCCAGGTGAAGTTGTCGGGGTCAGGATAATCTAGAAGGGGGAAGATGCAGAAGGTGAGACACACCTGCAGGAAGATGGCAAGTACCCCAGAATGTCCTACTGCCTTGAAGGATCAACCAAGTCTGTGCCAGGCACACAGGAACCTGAAAGACATCAAGAAGTGCTACTATTTTCTCATGGACCATGAAATCCAGGGTACAAGGAAGCAGAAACATCTGAGCCTGCACAGAAAGCCTGGGTCCTCATGTCTCCACTCAGCCTGACACAACCACCATGAACCTGAACATGTGTACAGGAGCCTTGGCAGGAGCACGCCGCCTCTCTGGCTGTAGCCTTGCTGAAGGAAACTGCCTAGGCCTGAAGACAAGCAAGGGCCATGGGGTTTGCACCCCCAGGCTCCCCATGCCACCTTGGGAAGCCTGTTCCCAAGGGAATGCACCACTGAAGACTGTGCTCCCAGGCCACTGACTCACCTTGAGGAGGTGTGAGGGGTTTGCCGTGCTCCTGACACCATCCAACTGGGTGGATGTATGGACTGCTGGGGTCACACCTAGAAAACACATCCAAGTTCTTACACAGGGCTGAGATACCCAGCCCATCATCGACAGACAGCACAGGCTGCAGGGGCCCAGGACAGGCCACTTGGCAGCACCCTCCAGGCCTGCACCACCAGCAAAAGCCCCTGCAAAAGCTGAGGTCTTCTACAGCACCCTTGTCCCTGAGAGACCCAGGGAATCACAGGCCCTGGCAAGGCAAGGGCTAGAGCAGGGGGACATCAGCTGAGAGGGGTAGGACACAAACACACCCCAAGTACAAGCCCTGTTGCAGAGCCACCCAGGGAACAGCAACTCTTGTCTGTGAGCAGGGAGAGAGGACATGCCTTTCAGAGCTCGGAGCGGTGAGACCTGAGCAATCTGGGGGGCTCATGTGCTGGTCACAGCTCCCAGTATGTCACAGCACAATGAGGAGCTGCTGCTTTGCAGGTCTGCCTTGGGACAGAGCAGGTAGCTGTCCAGCACCAGTGAGTGAAGAGCAGCAAGGTAGAGAAACTGCTGCAGCCCCACAGCTCCTCAGGGTGAGAAGAGAAGGCCAGAGGACTCCAGCCACAAAGGAAACAGAGTTCCTCTCAGGACCCTGACTGTGCCAACTGGTCATTTTAATTAGCCTTAACCAGCCTCAACTGGGACACCTCCCCACCCTGGCCACAATCCCCTGCCTACAGACACAGGAGCTCCTTTTAAGATCAGGCCTTCAGTCTCTGCATTGCAGGTGGCCCCATCTCTGAAGTTGGGTTTCAGGGTGAGCCCCCAGCATGCAATCACATCTGTCTTTGCTGCATGGTACCTACAGGGCCACGGAAATGTCCCACACGGTGACAAATAAAGGTTTGTCCCCCAGCACAGGGGGGTGATCCTCTGCCTCACTGGCCCACCGGTGGCCTGCCTGCAGCAGCGTGCTGGGATTGTCTCACGCTTTCCCGAGCACCCCATCGCTCTTGCTGAAGCAGCAGCAGGGTGTCTCCCCAGCACTGGTGCCTCAGGAGCCTCTGTGCGCTTACCAGTAGTCATAAGTATCATCCCAGTTGTCAAAGTGCACCAAAAAGCGATTGTCCACCACGTCAGTCACTGTGGCAACACAGATCAGGGAAGGGTTCATGCGGTCCACAGCTTCAAGCTTCATGCCCACCTCAAAGCCTGGGGAAGCCTCGTGCTGGGAGGAGAGAGGGGTAAGTTTCTTTCAGAGCGACGGTCCCAGTGGTCTACTCACCCTTTCCCCTGCCTGCTACAAGGAGGCACCTGCCCAAATCCTCCCAAAACCAGATCCTTCGGGGCCTCCAGGCAGGCCCAGGACCATTCAGGATCCCAAAAGGGCAGTGCCCTGCTATGCATGCAGGAAAAGAGGTAGAGGGTAAGTAACTCAGCTTGACCACACAAAGAAAGAGGAAAAGAAATCTTCAGACCCTCAGAATCTTCTATAAGCAGTAACCTCCAAGAGAAAACAGCCTCCAACTTCCACTGATTCAGATTTTGTCACAAAATACTTGTTAGCAGTCATGTTCCTCCAGTGTTAGCAGCGACCAATGCCCTAGGCTCGGCAGGAGGAGCCGGGATGGGGCCTTTCATCCTACCTTGCCTTTATTTCTTGGATCCAAAATCTGTGAGAAACGCTGCATCACACACACTAGTGGGATTGTTGCAGAAATGAGCAGGCATGTTTAGATACAATAAATAACTTGGACAGGCTGATTTATCAGTAGTCTGAGTTTCCTCTGCAGCTGACAAAGAAATTGTCAGCGTTTTGAATTCTGCTATATTCCCACTTTCCTTACCCAAGCTGCCATATACAAAATAAAGGCAGAGATAGAAACAATGAAGACACAAAACAGAGGCAAAAAGATTATACTTATGAAACATCAACTGAGGGGTTTTGGCAAAATAATTGCTGAGAGTAGCAGTTACTTCTCCTCACCTGTACTTTTGCAAGAGATTTACCTGTCCATAAGACCTACCTGGATGAAAACAGTGAATCAGGCCAGTGACAATTTTGGGCACACCAAACTAGTGTCCAAGCTACAGATCCTCAGCAGCAAAGCATGCTACATCTCATTTAGCAACGTCTGCAGTACACTCTCCTGGCCCTCTGCATTGTGGGCTTTAGAAGTGTGAGGTGGACAGAGGAAAGCCCAGCATCAGTGGAGGCATTCTGCTCAGCTGGAGGGGAAGAAGTCACACCGGAATTTGTGGGTTCTGTCAGGAAGGAGAGGCTGCTACTCACGGTGTTTCGGACCATGAAGAGGTGCTTAGGAGCTGCCTGAGCCTTTGTTATCTTCAGGTAGTTTGTCCAGCTGAATTCTTCTTCCTTATAACCTACAACCCCTCAGGAAGAGAAATGAGAGCAGTGAGTTCAACAGAGAGCAGCCATGAGGTTGTGAGGCTGAGCCTAGACATCTCCAGCCAGCCCTCACCCTGCCAGTATGTCCAGCTGTGGGCAAGCGGGGTCTAGAGCAGCCCTGGGAAAGCCAAAGCCCATGGCTTAGGCCCAATGGCTCATTTTGAAGGGGTGCTAGGAAAGCAGTGGTGGTGGAAATCCAGAGCTCAGCTCCTCCCTGGAGAGCGCCAGTCCCACCTGCCCTGGGACACAGCAGCTGGCTCCAGCCTGGCACTGGGACATCCAGGGTGACGGGGCTTTGCCCCAAAATGGGAGCAAGCAGAGATCTTTAGTGTGATGAGTGCCTGAAAGGTTGTCTTGTGGAAACCCCCCAGTACAAGAGCATCCCCTCCTGGGCCCCATGCAGCCACACTGTTTCCATCTCCAGCTCTGTGTTTGAGGGCCCACTACTTGTCCCCCTCTATCAACAGGACCCACCATGACTTGCTAACTCCTTACCTTTGGGCGGCTGGAGTTTGTGCCCCGTCTCCTCAAACCAGCCAGCTGGGTGGATGTCGGGGGAGTCGGCATTCAGCCAGAAATCATGGCACTCAGAGTAGCCATCAAAGTGAAGGCGCATCCGGTAGCCACACACCTACCGGCAGGGAGGGCAGGAAAAGGAAAGGACCATGGAAATCTCCTGCTGCCCCTGGCCAAGCATCACCCACACCTCCCCCTCCCACACACAATCTCAGCAGATCGCTTAGGGAAGCCAAGGGTCAATCACAGGCAGCATGCCTAAACCAAGAGGCACATGCCAGTCCCAAAAGGTGTCCACCATGGAACAAGGTAAGTGCAAGGCCACCACAAGCCAGCCCTAAGAGGGGAAGTTCAGGCTGGTGCATGAGGTGCCGTGGTGGAGCACCTTGATGGGTCCAGCAAATGCAAGGATTCCCTTTTCTGCCCCTGGGGGAAGAGGCTGGCGCAGGTTTTGGTGAAATCTCTCCAGCAGCAAGAACAGCAGTCATTGTTGTACGACTGATCTCAATGGCTGCCTGGGGAGCACTGCGAGGCAGGGCTGGTTCGGCTGCCACGTGGCTGAGAGTCCCACAGACAGAGGGCCTCCATGGACACAAGGAAGAGCAATGGCCTGCCTCCACACCCTCCATCTCAAGGGCTCAGACCAGGCTGAGGGGCATCAGCTTGAAGATAAGAAGCTGTTGCCATCAGCACAGTCTCTCCCCCAATGGCCCTGCTGTGTCAGGGTGATGGAGAAACCATCCTGGCTGGGGCATGACAGCTGCTCCACCAGCACCGTCTCCCGCCCCTACAAACTGGAATGAATCTCTCTGTTTCCTTGACCGAGGTGCTGGAGCTCCAGCTCATCTCCTGCAGTGACATGTGGGTGAGGGCCCAAAGCCCATCACCTCCACAGGCCAGCTGGAAACACCTCTGCTCCCACAGAGCCTCCCACTGTGTGGGTGTGAGGAGGATCCAAGGAACACGGGAACCGGAGGCACCTTACCTCAGCCACTGTCAGGATAAAGTACATAGACGGGTGCTGCGGATCGATCCCCTCCAGCTTCATCCCCACTTTAAAACCATTCTTGTGCTGGGAAGCTACTTGGTACTGGAAACAAAAATTAAACTACAATGTAAAAAACAACACAGGTAGTTGGGTCTAGAACCATCCCAATGAGCAACCATCAGGCAATGGGAGCTGCTGGGACCAGGAGACTGTGGGCCACGGGTTACGCTGTCATCCAAATTTTAATTATTTTCCCATAGAAAAACACATTCTTCCACCTCCTTGTGGGTTTGCATCTCTTGCTACTGGCAGGGCAGGGTGTCCCTGGGCTAACAGTCGCAGCCAGGGAGAGTGGGGCACGGGCCTGGCTCCTTTTGCACCTTGGCAATGAGATGCCTGGGAGCAGGGGTGCAGCGCAGCAGTGTGGCCTCAGGAGAGCCCACACCTGGCTTCGAGAAAGGGCTGGAAAGGCTCCACCACCCTGCCAGACCCACTGGGGTGTCCTAGACCAACGCGGGTGCTTGGGATGGGGGACAGCACCCTGCTGGGGAGTGGGACTCTGGGCAAATCAAAACTGGAGGCTTACTGGTCACCTCTAAGTGAAGATGGGAGCTTGCTTATCGCTCAGAGTCCCGCAAAATAGGGAAGTAAGGAAGAGAGGAGAAGGAGGAGGGGTCGGAAAAAAAAAAGGGAAAGAAAAGAGAAGATGAAAGAGGGAAAAAGACAGGAAAATCCCAACTCACATCCTGGAAGAGATCTAAAGGGGCAGCGACAGCTTTCTGCTCCTCCAAGTAGGACGCCCAAGACCAGCCTTCTTTCTTCTCCTCACTGGCACCTGAGCGCAGCACAAACGCACACACAAGAGGCGCTGCTGAGGGTCTGCTCCAGCCTCCGTCCCTGCCTGCCTCGGGGCAGCGCGGAGGGCAGCGAGCCCACGGGTCCTGCTGGGGCCGCATCCCGCTCTCACGCACAGTCCTGCATCACTGCAAAGCTCAGCACCATCCTACCAGAGCCCCTTCTCCAACAAACCTGGCCAGCTGTCTGAGGAGGGACAGAGCCAAGAGGCCCCCTCTCACACAGGTCACTGTGACCCACATGTCCACTGTCACTGCACAATGCTCTAGTAAGGCACCTAAGGAGCCTGAGGGACAAGCTACCCTGTGCAAAGCATCAGGACACCTCTGCAACCAGTCCTCCTCCAGCCAGTACATCTGAAATAGCCACAGCACTGACGGATTTGGGACAGCCAGCAGGATCCATCCAGAGGTCTGGGAATCACTCCCAGCTGCAAGGGGCACCCTGCCAGTCAAACCAGCAGTGGGCTCACATCACATCGCTGCGCCAGAGGCACCAGCTCTGCTACCCTCTGCCCTGAGACAACCACCTGATCCCCCCTGGCACACCAGGGCCACCTTGATACCCTTGAGATGCATTTACCCTTCCGGTATTCACAAAAAGAAGACAGCATTGTCTCTTCATAGGCAGTGAGGTGATCCTTCAAGCCTTCGACCACATTGGGAAGGCCACAAAAGGCCTTGCCCGAGGCACACAGGACACAGCGCAAGTCTCTTGCTCTCCAGCCACTTTCTCTCCCTCCTTCATATTGCTTGAAGGGACTCCAGGAGTGCTGTGCCTATTCCAGCACTGAGCAATTTACAGCTACAGGTCAGCCACGGCAGACAGCCTTGGACAGGGCAGGCCAGAAATGCAGGGGAAAAACAGACCAGCTCCTTCCTCCCTTGGGCTTAGGGGAAGTGGAGATGGAAAAAATAGGAACTAGCAGAAGAAATAAAAGCTGAACTTCAGTGAGCAAGGTTACTAACCTAGATGCTTTACTAATACTTAAGAATGACAAACACATTTGTTATTCTTTAGGACACAGGAAAAAGTGGCATGCGTGTTCAGGGAATCTGTAAGTACAAGCTCTGCACTTTTGGAGAATGACAAATACACCTGGAGATAGAGCATATGCCAACTCTGCTGCAATGAAGCATCCAGGTGTGTATTTTGTTTGCTGATGTACTTCTAAAATAAGAGAAAATAAAATGCTGAAATAACAAGGCTCAGCACTGCTTACTTATATGCTGCATACAAGCCCCGAGCATGCACAGGGCTCAAACTGTAGAGGAAAGGACCTGCCAAACAAGTATGAAATCCATTTTTAATAGTGGTTACCTCAGTGTAACATCAGGGGCTAATTACATCAGGCCCCTGCTACTGTCCCTACATTTGGCTATGGAGACAAGTATAAAGCTGGAACATTTTAATTTTAAAATTACTTTAAGTATGAACTTTCACTACTCAAAGACAAAAAGTTTCCCATAAATGTTTATTTTCAGTATTTTCCCAAGTTTTCCATCCCCCTTGTCCCCATCACACTGCAGGGAAAAAAACAAACAAGCAAACACTGCATCCTTCAGCTTGTCTCCCTTCCCTCTGCGTTGACAGCTCTGCGTTTGAGATCTCCTCTGATACAGTCCAGGAATAGATCCCCATGAGATGAGACAACCTCAAAATCACCCCGCTTCAGCAGCACCAGACCTACAGAGGCAGCTCCCAAACTTATGAGCTCCCGATTACACGAAGGAAGTTCCCCATAAGACTGTCCAAAGGTGGGGCAAAGCCAGACGGGGCACAAAATCATGTTATTGCTCAGGATAGTGCCTCTCAGAGCAAACACAGCATCCACGAGCAAATAATAAATTCAGCTCCCAAGGGGAGGGACCAGAAAGCACTGTACAGTACGGCCCAATGCCTGAAGAAGGCACAGCTGTATCTGTAAGGGTGCACCCTTCCCATGGAAAGAAAGAGAGGAAAGGAGAGAAATGGAAAGAGACAGAGAGAGCAGGATCAAGCAAGCAGAGGAGCTTATGAGCCTTCAGGAACATGTACAGTGCATTGCACTGGGAGTTTGACTCTGCTGGAGCACCAAAATTCTGGCCCAGCCCTGCAGCACCACAGCTGGACCCCACAGCTGTGGCAATCTCACACACCCCACTGCCTGCCCAGCCCTCCATACCGTGCTGAGTCCCGTTCCATGCATCAGCCTCCGGATTGCTGATGGCGGAGTCTCCTGCAGAGTTTTTCCTCTCTTCCTGCTTCTCCTCCTGGACATGAGATCAGAAAAAAACCATTGTGTTGGAGGTCTGCACAGAGGTTTATGCTGCATATCGTACCCTCACACCAGTGCTAAGGGCCATACTGTGCTTCTTCAACATCCATGATTTGTCTGATGTTTGGCCCACGAATGGGTGTCAAATAGGATCTGATGCTGGGAGCTCGAGGGGGTTTTTGGTGCTGAGGGGTAGCAGTCACACCCAGAGTGGATCTGGCACAGTCAGGGCTGGCAAGCAGAGCTTCCTCGACTTGCCAAAGTCTCTCTCCCTCCCCCAGAATACCCATCACACAGACACTCTCTTACTTCAACACTTATTTTGGTGGCCCAGAGTCAAGAGAGCAATTGAGAGTGCTCAATACCTACAGCTCAGTCAGGATGTGTGTAGCACTGCCCAATCTGAGACACTTGGCATGCCAAACAGCCAGCCAAGCCCTGATGCTCCACACATTCAAGTCTTTTTGGCATTAACAGTCAACAGGTTGCCCCTTCAACGTACAGCTGACATAGCACTGAAAAGCACCAATGAAAACTGTGTACACCCACAGCACATATGGGGGTGGCCCATGGCCCACCCTTGACATCGGCACATGCGCACACATGCACTCCCTGACCTCTTCCTACCATTTGCTCAGATTCATATTCTTCCTCCGAAGGGCTCTGGTAGTCCTTCCTCTTTCGTTTCTTCACTGGCTTGAGGATTTCGGTGGTACTGGTGCTGCTGGCAGAGTTTTCCACAATGACAGACCTGCGCAGAGGAAGGGAGAGTAAACCACTGCAGCACGGTACATGGCAATGGCTGGGGTGTCAGTAAGGGAGTGGCTGCTGGAGAATCACTGTCATCCCGTTTCTCACTCACACATGCTTCCATCCCTGCTGACTAACACACACACTCATCTCAGTGCATGGGTTGGCGACAGGTTAGAAGCAGGGTACAGACCAGAAACAACCTCACCACCTCACACTCCTGCGTGTCAGAAACCCGAACCCAAGGATGGATCAAAAGCAATCTAGTTTCATAGCAGGGCTCTAAGCTGCATCAGAGTCACAGAGAGATGCTGGAAAACAACTCCCAGGAGTTATGCATCAGTAAGCAAAGGGGCTGGCAATGCCCTTGTGACCCATGCCTCCCACTGCTGCTCAGTCTGGAAGCACCCACCGCAGCAACTTCCAACTGTAATCCTGCTCCAGCAGATACATATTTATGAGGCCACAAATGGGGCGGGAGGAAAATCTGGCTCCTGTGCTTGCTGCTGTCCCCTGGGACAAGTCCTCATCCCCCCCACACTGCCACCAGGGCACTCTGCCTGCAGCAAAGAGGGAAACAGGTCGGGTCCCCAGCACCTGCCAGAGACAGATCTGCTTACATCCCTTGCTGGAGCGTGTGGACCAGGGGAGGGAGGGCAGACAGACTGATGGCTATGGCTCTGCATGGAGCACTCCCTTTACCTTTCTTTGAACTGCTGGTGACAGTGCTCGCTGCAGAAGCCCCTGCCTTCCCGGGCTCCGTCTGACACATGTCTTCGGCCACAGGTATCACAGTGGCACATGCTTTCTGCTGTCGGCAGCTTGGTCTGCTCCGGCACATCTGAGTCAGAGACAAGAGGAGCAGTGAGGCACAAGGTGCAGCAGAGAACGGAGAGCAGGAAGCAGGAGACATCTGCCTCGCTCAGGGCCTATGCCAGACAGCTCCTGCTGGATGATGGTACCCACCCCAGAAATGCCACCATGGTGCCCTTACCCTGAGCCACAGTAGGATTGTCCCTGCTGGTGGGTGCCACCTCTGAGTCCCCATCTTTCTCTGTGTGACCCTCCTTTATAGCTTCCACCGGAGGCATCTTATCAGCACTCACCACCTTCAGCGTCCCGTACTCATTTATTCGAAACTATGTCATTGAACCAAAAAACAAGGAAAAATAGTTAACAAGGGGGGGATAGAAATGTAACTTGACACCAGTGGGTGTCAGAGGGACACGGTTCAGTCATTAGTGCGACCAAAAAGAGGACAGCAGTTCTGATGACAGGGGTGAGCACAGCACCAAAGCCATCTCCTTGCAGCCTGTGCTGGCCGCTGAGCCTGCCAGGGCAAGCAGGCTGCCTGCACCTGGGTGAGACCAACTCTAGCTGGCAGCATGAGGGGGTGGGTGATGGTGGGAGGACGTGGTGCCCTGAGGCTGAGTAGCAGCTGAGAAATTGGTGCATTTTGTACAAGCTATTTCATGTACCAAGGGGTACATCTAAAGATACCTGCTGTCTGACGAGCACGAGGCCACTGTTTCCAGGGTGAGTGCAGGAGTTTGGTGAGAGCCAACTCCATGGCACAGCTTGGAAAGGAAAGATAGCCTGCACAGCACATAGCATCCCTCTGCCTCCCTGTGCAGGGCAGGCCTGATGCAGCCCCCCTGGCACCATGTGTGTGCTCTCTCTGCTAAGATGAAGGGGCATAGGGATGGGGCACAAGAAGAGCCTTGCAGACCTGGAACAGCCAAAGAATCCTCCAGCCGGATTGCGACTACTGCCAGGGGCTACATTACATCCTGGTGTTTCCTGACTGGCACATGGTGGGGGACTGACACTTGCAAGGGCAAGCAGCTGCAGGGAGTGGTGAGGCAGGGGGCAAACACGGTGTTCCCAGGGTTACACTTACCCGCAGGTTACTCCCAGGTAAAGTGGCCACCCCATCTTTCCACTCCAGCACACGGACTGTGCTGCAGGTCTGCACTCCGCTGATCTGAGGAATGACAGTAGCTGTGATGGGCTCACTCCCTGCTCCCCTCTCTTGCCTCTCAGCCCCTGTGCTTCTCTGTGGTTCCCGAGGAAATCGCTGGATTTCTAAGGTGCTCGTGGGAAGGTTGATGGTAGTGGCATTTGCTTGAGAAGGGAAGAAAGGAAACAAACAACCAGAGGCATACACAGAACACTTAACTGATGCAAACAAGGCTCAAAGGCAGCACAAAATGGCAAAGAGGACACAGTCTCCCAGCCAAGGGCTCAATGCTGTGGGCTAAAGAACCCTCAAGCAGGCAGCGTGACCCAACATCTGCAGCCATCAATGGCTTCTGCTGGGGGGTGGCACCAGCACTATCCACATTCAAGGGTTCCTACTTCAGCTTAATCTCAGACTGTTCCCATGACCAGGATGCCCTGATGTGGCAGGATTGTGCTGGCAAGCTCCTGGACTGCATCCTCCAGTTTTGTTTCATTTCAAAGGAACACACTGTGCAGCCCAGGGCCTCTCCACAGTGGGAACCAAGGCACTGGGAGCAGGAAAAAATTGGGAGACTGGCTTCTAAAGAATGTCCCTGATCTCACCTAACACACACCTGTGCTTTGCTTGCACACCTCCTGAAAGACACTGGTCAGCTAGGTTGAAAATTGTTGTCCCAATTTTCAAGAAGGGTAAGAAGGACGACCCTGGTAACTACAGGCCTGTCAGTCTCACTTCAGTGCCTGGTAAAATTATGGAGAAGGTTATTCTGGGATTTACTGAAAAACACTTGAGAGACAATACAGTCACTGCTCATAGCCAACACAGGTTCACAAGGGGAAAGTCCTGCTTAACGAACTTACTTTCCTTTTATGAAAAGGTCACCCATCGAGATGACCAAGGGAAGCCAGTAGATGTGGTGGGGTTTTTTTTGTTTTTTTTTTTTTTTTTTTTTTAAGCTAAGCTTTTCATACTGTCTCTCGCAGTATCCTTCTGGACAATATGTCCAGCACAGAGCTAGACAAGTCCATAATACGATGGGTGAACAACTGGTTGATGGGTTAGGCTCAAAGGGTTACAGTAAATGTGTTCACATCAGGCTGGCAGCCAGTCACCAGTGGGGTTCTGCAGGGCTCAATTTTAGGGCCAGCGCTCTTCAATGTTTTTAGGAAAGATCTGGATGCAGGAGTCAAATGTACATTAAGTAAGTTTGCCGATGACACTAAACTAGGAGGAGCTGTGGACTCCCTTGAGGGTAGACAGGCCTTACAGAGAGATCTGGATAGATTAGAGAGCTTGGGAATCACTGACTATATGAAATTTAGCAAGAGCAAGTGTCAGATTCTGCACCTGGGACAGGGTAATCCTGGTTATATGTGCAAACTGGGAGACGAGAGGCTGGGGAGCAGCCCCGCGGAAAGAGATCTGGTTTGGGTTCAGGTTGATGGCAAGTTGAGTAAGAGTCAACAGCGAGCCCTGGCAGCCAAAAGGGCCAGCTGTGCCCTGGGGTGCCTCAAGCACAGCATCGCTGGCCCGTCCAGGGAGGTGACTGTCCCCCTCTACGCTGCACCACACCTCGAGCACTGTGTGCAGTTTGGGGCACCTCAGTGTATGCAGGACATCAAACTACTAGAGTGTGTCCGGAGGAGGGCGACCAAGATGGTGAAAGGTCTCGAGGGCAAGACTTACGAGGAGCGGCTGAGGTCACTTGGCTTGTTCAGCTTGGAGAAGAGAAGGCTGAGGGGTGCCCTCATCGCAGTCTACAACTTCCTCAAGGGGGGCAGCGGAGGGGGAGGTGCTGATCTCCTCTCTCTGGTGACCAGCGATAGGACACGAGGAAATGGAATGGAGCTGCGTCAGGGGAAGTTCAGATTGGACATTAGGAAAAGGTTCTTCACTGGGAGGGTGGTGGGTCCCTGGAACAGGCTCCCCAGGGAAGTGGTCACAGCACCAAGCCTGGCAGAGTTCAAGGCGCATCTGGACGATGCTCTTGGTCGTATGGTTTAGTTTTAGGTAGCCCTGCGAGGAGCAGGGAGTTGGACTCAATGATCCTTATGGGTCCCTGCCAACTTGAGATATTCTGTGACTCTATGATAATGTGGCAACCCAGGAGCCCACATCCCCTGCAGAGCAGGCACCCAGCACACTGTGGTGCACTGGCTCTGGGCCCCAGACATCAGGGCTTTGGTTTAAAAATCAAGATGTTTTGATCAGCCACAAATTGTCCAAGTGATGTGGGATAGCCACAGAGAACCTCTAAGATGGTAACAGCTGTATGGCTTTACCTCCCAAGGTTTGGGAGGAGCACAGACATACAAGGAGTGTGAGGTGTCAATGTGGTGGGAGAAGGCTGGGGAGGCACCAGTTAGAGAGCACAGTTCCGCATACCTGGTATGATGAAGGCAGTTGTTGGCAGGTGGGTGCTCTGCACAGTGCTCTCGGTGGTGACCACATGGACGCTGACCTCCCCAGCAGCACTCCCCTTTGCGCTCCTCACAACCTCCATCTCTGCTCTGCTGTCCATCACCTTGCCTGGGCACAGAGCGAGACGCTGGAAGACAGCAAGAAAGAAATCGAGTTGGGTACAAGTACAAATACAACAAAGGAGTGAGAAAGAGACTGTGGAGGATGATCCTTCCCTTTCCACCATCTTCCAGTAGAACCCCCTGTAAGATGTATTAAAGGCCCATTGAAGCCAACAGAGAACAGCACGAAGGTCACAGCTGGTACCAACATGACCCTGCTGCGAGATTCCAGCTCAGAACCTGCGAGTGCCAAGGGTTTTTTCTTACCTGGCACCACCATAAGATGGTATAGGCACAGCAGATCCACCACAAGCTATGGCTGCTCCTGGCTCCCACTGGGGCCCACACCGCTCTGACGCAGACTGTGACTGAGGGTTGGCAAATCCTACCCTGGAGAAGACTGAGGTCCCTGAAGTTCCCTTTCCAGTTCTCCTGTTGGGCAGTCAACCTTGATCTTGTAACTGGCTGTAAGAGAGAATTTCACAAGTGATGAGAGTTAACAAGGGGTTTGGGGAACATGACATCCACTGCATGCAGCTGAGTTCCTCACAGAACTGGTGATGATCAACTCATTTAGTCATGAATTTCAAGGAGTAGGCAAGGTGTCAGGCCCTTCCTGGCTCTGACTGGCCTCCGCTGGGACCCCCACCCATGGGTCCAGGGGTTCCATGTCACCCCAGCCCCAGCCTCTCTATGCCATGCTGCAGCAGTACTGGTCTCCAGCCAGGCCAGCATTCAGGCTTGATCTCAGACCTTGCCTGGTGACCTGAGCTCAGAGCTGGACCTGGCCACAGTGGCCCTGCCAGCTGCCTTCCTCCGTTCCCTGTCCCTGGGGCAGCAGCTGGCCCCAGCAGGCAGGAGTGTGCCTACACCAGGACGTCCCCAGACCAGGGCCTGCCTGCAAGCTGGTGGGAAGAACAGCATTGCCTCCTGGTGCCCAGGGCACCTTGGTGAAGGAGGGCTCTCGGTGCTGCTCTTGCCCTAGTGAAAAATGCAATGGACACACAGAGCTAAGCAGAAAACCAGCAGTATCATCAGGTGCGCTCGGGAAAGGTGGATCTCTCCATGCCTACTGAAAATTATGGTCCGAGTGTCCCAGAGACTGCTGGAGTCTGAGGACACTGGGCTGGGGAAGGATTTTGGACCTGCCCTGTTTTCCACACCCTCTTCAAAGCACTTGATGCAGGGATGGAGGCAAGGCTGCGATGGGGCTAAGTAGGGGACCATGCTGATGTCTTGGTTGCTTTTGATGCAACCTGAATTTGAAAGAGAAGACAGCCATGTGGAAAACAGGATGATCATTTCAGTGAAGCACAGATAAATAAAAATTTGGCTACAAAGGGCAAAGTCTGGAATTTTAAAGCCTGATACATTAAGATAAAGGTGTTACAACCAGAGGGTAATGAGTGAGATGGGTGCTCATGTTAGGGGAAGATCTACTTCCTTCTCCCTCTTACAGTGCTGCCAGGTTTTGTGATCAGAAATACCTGATGTTCAACTGACAGATGGTACAGACCTTTAAGGCCCTCCAGGTGCAGCAACAGAAAAGTATTGTTAAGTGTCAGAAGAACTGAAGGAACTGAGTAACTCAGCTAGACAACAGACTCCAACTGAAAGCCAAAATTAATTTGGCAGTCAACCTGTCTTGGTGCTTCTTAATATCCACTAGGAACCTATCTGCTTTCTTAGGCATTTAAATTTGTTATTTATCCTTGATTCATCACTTGGGTCAAATGTTTCAAGCACAACTCATTTTGTGTGAGCTCCTGGCTTCTTTTTTAATTTAAACAGAACTTGGGACTGGAAGTGCATAGAAAGAAATAGAAAAAACTAGATCTGGTGCCCAAGCTGGGTGATGCTCAAACGTACCTCTCTACAGTAGTCTATGACAATAGCAAATAATTGCACAGAAAATAACCAGCAGTAATTATCACGTGTCAAACACTCTCCAAATCCTTGCAGGGCTGCCTGCCAATGTTGTCGAGACTGGCTCTCCTGTGCCTTATGAGTTCAGGGTGAACGGAAGGAATCTGGATCACAGACCATGGCGCTATTCCTTGAACTGGAATAACTAAGTAACTGAGATTTAGGACTTAATCTCCAGACAATCCCTCCTCCAACAAGCTCCTGGGAGAGGCCTCACTGCAGCAAAGGGCACGTACGGCCACACCACTGCTGGGCAGACCAGCTCAGAGGGTCAGGAGCTCTCCAAGGAGCTTGAGGGAGGCAGAGAAGCCCATCCAGCCCACGTTCCTGCCCTACAACAGTCACTCCTGTTCCTCATATTTGCCCCTCAGCACCAGTGTCCGTGCTTCCCCTGGCACCTTTGGCCAGAGCAACCTCTTTCTTGTTGGCAGAAACCTTTCCCTAACACCTTGCCCCAACCCCTGCCCTTTGAGCATGTGGAGCACAAATTGTGCAAACAACCCCCCCAGAACGTGTCCTGCTCCATCCTGCAGGGCAGCAAAACACGTTGAGGTCCTGGACACCACAAAACTTTATGCTTGCAGACGTCTCAAGCCACGTTTCTCTCCTTTTAAGATCCATGGCGGGGAGACAGGCCCAAAGCTATTCCAAGACCACGCATGAGCAGCAAGAACATTGTTGGTGTGAACTTGTAAGCACATCGTTGTCACAACTGAAACCCAGCGACTCCCAGAGCTCCTCCACCTCTTGTCAAGGGCTTCCACGGTGTTAAGACAACAATTTACCACTAACACTATCACATCAACCATAGCATACATTGTTAAAGTTTTAACTCAGGGTTTCTGAAGCAGTCCCAAGCCCCAGAGCACTGCTCCAGACCGCTGCCCTGCAATGCTTTGGAGCCTTGCTGGTGGGTCCGGTGTGGGCGTGACATGACACCCAGACCACAGAGCTCTATCCCCAACCCAGAGGAGTGAGAATCAGGACTGGAGACATTGTTTGCAGCTCGCAATTTTCAAAACGCTGGCAGAAAAAACTTTGGAAGTCCAATCTGCTGTGAAATATCTCTGGTCAGTAGCAGCATATGAAAAAAGGGGAGCACAGCCACAGGTATGATCTGCCCTAGCATCACTGTCACGGCAGTAAAAAGGCGCTGGCACGCATCTCTTTAGACAGCCCTGCTCCCTGAGAGCAGGAGCTCTGACAGATGTCAGGGAGAGGGTGTTTGTGGTTGCAAATCTCATTGCTTCAGTGCATGGAGCCAGAGCCTGGTCAGACACCACCACCCCAGAAATCATTTCAAGGGGTCTCCTGCAAGCCCTGGTATGACCCATGAAGGATTGCAGGATAATTGAGGCTGGAAGGAACCTCAGGAAGTCTCTAGTCCAATTTCCTGCTCGCAGCAGGGTCAGCTATGGGATCAGACCAAGTTGCTCAGAGCTTTATCCAGCCTAGTCTTGAAAACCTCCCAGGATGGGATACTTCCTGCAAATTAGCACAACAATTAGCAAAACAAACTCACACATTGCCTTTCTGGTGACTGCTCTAGACTATGAACAAAAGGTTTATTTATTTTCTAAACTTTGTATTTAGTTGGGATCTTAAACAACTTTTGGCCTACAGGTGCCCCAGTGACATCTGATAAAATTCTGCCTGCCCCAACAGGACCAGAATTAGACCAACACTTAGCACCTTTCAAAAATCCCACCAGCCAGATTTTAAACTAGCAACTAATTAAAGGTGAAAACTATTTTGGACTTATCAGTGAGGCCCCAAGTTCTCTATTTTTCCTGGTATTGAGTGTAACTCTGTATGTCTCGCAGAGCGTGTAGGTCAGCCCTGCTCCCAAACAAGCCTGCTGTTCAGTCTTTCCTTTAGGCCACAGGGACCCAAAACTCTGCACACCCACTCTTCTCTTCTGCCTTCTGTTGAGGGACAGCCAAGGAAGACAGGCTCCCACTCTGAAGAATACAGAAAAGAGAAAAGCCACCCTCGGCAAACACTGACCACACATACACACTTAACTGTGGTTCCTCCAGAGACCACCACAACATGCTGGCTGGAAGGAGAAATGTTTCAAGACAACTTTCATCCAGAAGTGCCCTCTTTCTTGGCCTGCTCTGCTCCAGTAAAGCAGTTCTTGCAACCACATTCGCCATGTATGAGTACATATGTGTACATGGCCATCTGTCTGCAGTCAGACCCTGCCAGCCTATTTCAACCAGTTTTGACAGCTAGATTAGATGTCTCTAACAGTGGGCTCTTTCAGAGTAAAACCTTCAAGTTTGGGAAACCAAGCATCTGCACAGAAAACAGGGTCTCTGAATGGCCCCTCACCTCGCAGGGGCTGAAATTCCTGAGCAACAGAGAGCAGCTGGGGACAGCTGAGCTGTGCACACATTCACACCTGCAGAGGAAGCTGGCCACAAACCACATGTTTTAAGGCAACCAGGCTCCACTATTCTGCTGCTCACAAAGTTTCTAGCTCATCAAACAGGAAACATTGGGTGTTGGCAGACCCGTGCTCTGGATCAGTGACACAGGGGCTTGGAAAGCAAGCATTTCAACAGCTGCTATACACACGAGCCTCCAACTCTACCACATTCTCACACCCGCCCTCTCACAAAAGCGTGGCAAATCCAGGGAATGATCCGCTGTTTGGAAAGAGGTGAGATATACTGCATGCGACAGGCCATAGAGAAGAGAGAAAAGCAGCTCCCAGCACAGAGACACTGTACAGCCCTGTCAGCACTTCATAAAGCACAGTCTGGTCAAAATACTTGTTTCTTTTCATCACAAAATTGGCTTAAAATAACTATTTCAAACAATATTAACATGATTATTGGCTTTGTGGCTTCTCATATCTCTAAATATTCCCAAAATCTACACTGCTAAATGCTAGGGGCCACCTAGCTGGAAAGCTAAACCTTGACAGAAAAGGCCCTGGGGGTCCTGATGGACACCACATTGACCATGAGCCAGCAGCGTGCTCTTGCAGCAGAGGTGGTGAACGGTGTCCTGGGCTGCATTAGGAGAAGCGTCACAGCAGCTGGAGGGAGATGATCCCTCCCCACTGCTCAGCACTGGTGAGGCCACCCTGGAGTGCTGGGTCCAGTGCTGGGCTCCCAGTACAAGAGAGATGGGGACGTACTGGAGAGAGTCCAGAGAAGAGCCGTGAAGGTGATGAAGGGATGGGAGCATCTGCTGTGAGGGGAAGCTGAGAGCTGGGACTGCTCAGCCTGGAGCAGGGCAGGCTCAGGGGCATCTCACCAGTGTGGAGATACCTGGAGGGAGGGTGCAGAGAGGACGGAGCCAGGGGCTTCTCAGTGGTGCCCGGGGACAGGACCAGAGGCCACAGGCACAAACTGGCATGCAGGAGGGTCCCTCTGAACATCAGGAAACACTTTTCCACTGTGAGGGTGACCAAGCACTGGTACAAGTTGTCCAGGGACATTGTGGAATCTCCATCCGTGGAGATACTCGAAAGGTATCTGGACGTGGTTTTGGGCAGCTGGCTCTGGGTGACCCTGATGGAGCAGGGGGCTAGACAAAGTGATTTCCATAGGTGCCTCCAATCTCAACCAGTCTGTGATTTTATGAATTATTTTTTCAGAAATTTCCTCAGCCATAACAGAGAACTTTCCCATCCTTAACAACTGCTGAGGTATGGATTATTAATTACCTCCAGTGGTAAAATTGGACCTTTAAAAAAAAGAACCAGTTGGGATCACACTAAAACTGCAAGTGGTGTGCCAGAACACTGCAGAGACAGGGTGGGCTGGGAGCTGCTACCCTGGATCTTCCCCTGTCTTCTGGCACTGCTCAGGACAGGTGTTTAAGAGAGTAACAGCACTGCAGAAAGTATATGCTCCATGTACACACAGGAGCACAGTCAGTAACGCCTTTTCACAGGCAGGTGGCCCAGTGGAGAAAGGCAAACACAGCACGCCTCTTCCCTTCCAAATTGGACTGCTGCTTTAAACCCAGGAGGCAATGTCTCCTCTGGAATAAACTAGGGACCATGAAGTCCTCCTAGGATCTGCTGTAGCATGGGGTGAGGTCTGGAACTGCCTGTGGTATTTATCAACATCTCAAAACAGGATGACATGTCCTTCCATGCAGTAAGAAGCTATTCATGTTGCACATTTCAAAATAGATAATAGAGTCTGTGAAGATAGACTGGAGGGAGAAGGGCAAGAGAGCAGCAAGTTGCCTTCAGCTTTAGGTTCAGACCAAGCTAACAAAGCAGACACTTGGGCTTGGTGTCACCTGCTGTCCCCAGGAGTGTCACTGTCACTGGGCCTAGCTCTTGGGCTTGTGGATCTCCTCGGACCCCCAGGTGGGGAGAAGGAGCAGTTACCAGTGATCTCATGTGCCACCCCAAAGGGCTCAAGGTAACACCACCCAAGCAAAACGCCAGAAGGCTGCCTGAAGCCTGGGCAGCTCTGACTGGGCACAGGCCCCCAGCCACCGCTAAGAGCTGCACAGAGGGGACACCCGCGTCCCACCTTCCATTCTGCTGCCATAAGCCACTGACTACTGACAACGCCAGCCCTGCTGCGGCACCCAGCCCTGCAGAGTTAGGGCACAACACAGGACATTTTTCCACAAGTACACTTATAAGCAGGCAGAAGTGTCCAGAGACGATTGATACATGATTCTGAAAGACTTCAAAATGTCCAATCTGTTATCTTCTTTTATAACTAGTGAAGAAATAAATCCACAACGTGGCCTAGACCATGTGGAGCATCCTCTCTGTAGCCTGGGCTGTTTGTTCTGTGTCCTGCTAGGTTGGACTAACACCCTCTCTGCTGCAGGACCCTTTCAAGGAGTGCTCCGGTGTCATCTTCAGGCCCCAGGACAGCACGCGCAGACGAGGTGTTTGAGAAACACCAGGAGGAACACGGTCAAGCATCTGCCATGGGAAGGGGCTTCCAACCTCCTTGTGTCCCAGAGAGGATCCCCTGGGGAAGGCAGGGCAGTCCCACGCCTCGTCTCTGCTGGACACCGCTGGGTCACACCCGGCCAGTACCTCACACCACACACACCCAGCGGCGACCAGTCAGCCCAGAGGGCAGTGGGAACTCCAACCGCACCAGTACAGAACTTGGGCGAAGGAGATAAGCACCAGCGCGTCCTTTTTTATTTTTTTTTCCTATTTTTTTGTAAGCTGCTGGGCCTAGCGGCTCGCCTTGAGGAAAAACACTTTGCTGCCCAGGGCCGTTACAGTCCCCAAAAGGACGCGCGGGGGCCGCCGTCCCCCCTCGGGGCAGGCAGGGCGGGCGGCCCCCGGCCCGCTCCCGGCCGCAGCGCCCCCGCCGCGGCGGCACGGCAGGCACCGTCCCCCTCCCGCCCCGCCCGCCTCGGCCCGGGCCGCCCCGCCCGCCCCGGGGTGGCTGTCGGTAAATGGTGGAGCGTCGTTCCCCCCCCCCCCCGCCGCCCCGGGCCTGCCCCGGCTGTAGGGGGGCGGCGCGGCGCGGGCCCGGCCCCGCCGTCCCAGGCCCCGGCCCGGCTCGCCCGGCCAGCGCCTCGCCCGGGGCGCCGGGCGCGGGCGGGGAGGCGGCCCCGGGCTGGGCAGTGCTCGGCCGCGCTCCTTACCTCCACGGCGGGGGCCGGGCCCGGCCGGGGCGCTGCTCCGAGCCGCCGCGGGGCTGCCCGGCCCGGCGGGCGCTGCGCAGAGCCGCGTTACGGCAGGGCCGCGCGGCCCGGCCCGGGGCTGCGAGCGGGGCCGCACCGGGCGGGGGGGGGGGGGGGGGACACACGGCCGCGACTTGGGCGGCGAAGCCCGCGGCGGGAGGGGCGCGGGGCCGGGCCGGGTGTGAGTGTGAGTGTGCGTGAGTGTGTGCGCGGGGGGGGGGGGGAGGGGGCGGTAATTGGGCAGGTTGAAAATGCATGCACTTAATGAGCACCGTCGCCATGGCAACCCGTGTATTCCTCCACGCCGCATTGGCAGTGTTTAATCCCGCCGCATGATTTCGGGGAGCTGCTTTAGCTGGGGGGGGGGGGGGCGGGGGGAAGGAGGTGGCCATGGCAACGCCCAGGCCGCGGAGACACCCCCCAGGCCGGGCCGGGCGCCCCAAGGCCGCCCCCGCTTCACTCCTCCGCCCCGTCCCGGGGCACAGCCCGCCGGGCACGGGGCCGCGGGTCCCCGCGGCGCTGAGGGGCCTGGAGCTGGCACTGGCCACCTTAAAGCAAGTGTAGAGCTGCGGGGTCCCAGCGCCCTCCATCTTCACCTTGCCCGGGGCTGGGGGGTGGCTGAAACACAATCTTCCACTGGGACAGGGGGGCTGGAGAAAATGGACAGGAAATCTCCAAGATCACTGGGAAGCAAAAGGCTTGCTCCAGCTACTTCTCCAGAGGAGATGTGAGCTTGCTCTTGCACAGTGCTGAGTAGTGCTTCCTAAGCGCTCTGGTCAAAAACCAGGGCAGCTTACCTGCCCACCCCTTAGTATTTTACGGCTACACAAGACATGTGCCTTTTAGACACTTACCCAATGTAAGTCCCACTTACCTGCAAAACGTGGGAGTGGAAGGAACCAAGACTGGAAGCACAAGGGCCCAAAACGTACAAAAAGCTGCTGAGAAGAGCACTCGATGCATGTTGGACCAGCTGGGGAGTCGACTGCCTGCCCACCATGGAGGCCGTGTCTTGCCTAACCGAACCCAGGGCAAGGAGCGTGCTTGCTCGCTTCAGGGACTGTAGGAACAAGCCCTTTGTTTCTAGCATGAGTATCTGCCAGATTTTTATCACCTTGAGTTTTGCAGTCTGAAATTTTTAAGACATTAAAAAAGATGAAGTCAAAGACTGATGAAGGAATTAGATCCTGAGAATCAGGAAGTAACGGGTATTTCCTTTACTGCTATGGCTTCCCCCTTTTCAAATAAACCTTCAGCGGCACAATATAGAAAAAGGTCTTCCCATTTAAATCCTTTATGATGCAGGGGGAAGTTTGAATAGATCCAAATTAGAAGCAGAGTGAAACCCAGCTGTGTGAAAAGCAACCCAGCATTCACCTTCTCCCATCGGTTCCATGTTCCTGGCTATGGTTGCCATAAAAAAAAAAAAAAAAAAAAAAAAATAATTCAGAATGATTAATTCCTGGAAAGCAGCTACTTTAAGGCAAAAAAGAGGAGGCATTCCTGGCTCACCAGGAAGCCCTCTGACTGATGTAACAACAGATCATTTCTCTCTCCTGTGCCTCAACTTCCATTTTCACGACCTCTGTTGTAGTGCATCTTGGGGGACAAGAGGCTGGGGAGCAGCCCCGCGGAAAGAGATCTGGTTTGGGTTCAGGTTGATGGCAAGTTGAGTAAGAGTCAACAGCGAGCCCTGGCAGCCAAAAGGGCCAGCTGTGCCCTGGGGTGCCTCAAGCACAGCATCGCTGGCCCGTCGAGGGAGGTGACTGTCCCCCTCTACGCTGCACCACACCTCGAGCACTGTGTGCAGTTTGGGGCACCTCAGTGTATGCAGGACATCAAACTACTAGAGTGTGTCCGGAGGAGGGCGACCAAGATGGTGAAAGGTCTCGAGGGCAAGACTTACGAGGAGCGGCTGAGGTCACTTGGCTTGTTCAGCTTGGAGAAGAGAAGGCTGAGGGGTGCCCTCATCGCAGTCTACAACTTCCTCAAGGGGGGCAGCGGAGGGGGAGGTGCTGATCTCCTCTCTCTGGTGACCAGCGATAGGACACGAGGAAATGGAATGGAGCTGCGTCAGGGGAAGTTCAGATTGGACATTAGGAAAAGGTTCTTCACTGGGAGGGTGGTGGGTCCCTGGAACAGGCTCCCCAGGGAAGTGGTCACAGCACCAAGCCTGGCAGAGTTCAAGGCGCATCTGGACGATGCTCTTGGTCGTATGGTTTAGTTTTAGGTAGCCCTGCGAGGAGCAGGGAGTTGGACTCGATTATCCTTATGGGTCACTGCCAACTTGAGGTATTCTGTGATTCTATGAACTTTTGTTTATTTAAACTTTGCTCTTAGTAATGCTCTTATTATTTAATTCATTCTGACATGGCTTCTCAGACTCCATTATGCCATTAATACCATTATACCCTAACTAGTGCAGACTGCAACAAGGCTGTGCTTAACAAGAGATGCTCTGATCCACCTTAGGCAGGATTCATCCCCATGTGTTCTGCTATTCACAGGATGGCAGCTTTTGCACATCGTTGTGCCTGCCACTCCTGTCCTCACCCAGTCATGTCCCATGCTCTTTTGTCCCAAAAGCCTGATAGAGATCTTACAAAACATGAAGCAACAGGAGTAAGTTTGAAGTACAAACTGGCATCTATAGCTCATATTTCCACTGGGAAAGTCACTGCAATTCTGTGCTTCAGTCTCACGCTCCCTAGAGGACTTTTGTGTATGGAGAACTAAAAAACAATTCTGCTTCTGATTGTCAAACATATGCAGGTGACACCTAAATTATGGCAAATGATGGATTACGCTTTAAGCTCACAGAGCAATATTTTTTAATTATCAGCAAATAGACCCAAACAACATAAGTGGAGAGGGTGTTTCAAAATATCTTCTCTTGTCTCCCCGGTTACTGTCAGCTCTTACTCCACACTGAGTGGCATGCTTGTACCCGAGAGCTGAGCAGAACAGGAGATGCTGCCCCAGGGCAGCTCTTGCACCTCGCCATTGCCCCCCCAGGTTAATTGCGCAGCACCATTGTTGCACCACTGTGACTATGAGAGACTATTGGCTGTAGCTTTTTCCTCTTGTGTTGGTGCTGAGGAAGGATGCTGACAGCTGACACTGAGCAGAACAAGGAACAGAAACACTTGTGCGGGGGGAAAGCATTTTACACTTTACCCATTTCGAGGAGGAACATTGCTCTTCAACAAGCAGATCACCAGGGTGCAACTGCACATTGTGATTACACCAAGCAGTTCAGATGTGATCTATTTAACATCTACTGACTTAACGGCACTAACTTTTCTTATTCATGTTTACAGGATAATCCTGTGTCAGGTGCTGCAAATACCAGTAATAAATTTGCCCAAGTAATTCCCCCCTATAGCTCCATCCACATGACAGCACAGGCTGCATCTTCCAGACATCTCCAACTCTGGCAGCACCCACAGAGCTTCCCTCTACTATTTTCAGTATTTTGAACTGAATTCACTGTAGTCATTTCTTGTCCAAAGGCAAAACATTGGAACAAAACTTAAGCTTTTACTTTTAAAATTAGTAAAATGCTAATTTTTAAAAACGAGTATTTGGGATATCCTAAATTAAAGCAGACACCCTGCAGAAGTTACGTTCTGTGAACAAGAGGAAGAGAATGTAGCCCTTGAGTCAGAGAATCACCCAGAATCTTGTCCAAAATTTTAGTATTAGTACAAACTGTTGTGCAGTACCTCCCAAAGCATGCATTAGCTGTAGACATCTTCCCATTGCCACTACTTTTTCAGTGGTATGGATCATACTAACTGCCAGGATCCATTCCCTCTTATGTAGCAGCATTCCTATGTTCATCCAACCAACTTGGACATGTTATTGATGGATATCACTAAAAGGGTTGAAGTTTATGAGCCACTTCAGAACAGTTTATTCCAATCTTTTATTGGATCAGGAAACAACTGAATCTTCTTCTCTAACATCTACATACACATTTAGCAAAAATAATAATGCATGAAGAAGTTTTTAGAGTTAAGAGTCCACATTCTATTATTTGATTCTTTCTACCTAACCACAAAACAAAACATGGGGGAAAAGGGCTGATCACAATGTTAACAGATCCCAAGAACAGATAGTTAAAATTCTTGAACTGTTAATAGCTGCCATTACACAAAGTAGTATTTGTATTAGTTTTGTTTCTCACCTTTTAAAGTAATATGTTCCTATTCACATTAAATAGATGTTACAAAGTGCACAAGAAACACAGCAAAGATCTGGTAATTGTGTTGCAGAAACTTTACCTTCTGATCAACAACATTTGAACTACACATCTTTCGAATGATCACAGCATTTTTCATCACCTCTCAAGGACATACTAAACATCAGCTAAGCTAAATTTGGGGGTTTTCCAGGCTTCTGTGCCAAATTCCTACTTTCCCAGCTTTTGCTCTTCGACTTACATAATTGCTCTGTGGATGTTACAATGCCAACCTGAACTGGGTTTAAGTAGGAATTGCAAACAGTTCAAGTTATTCCATGTGTGAATAATAAATCCAGCAATCATGTTTTAAATGCCCCTCCCCATTGCTCATGCAGAGACAGTTACAACCTTGTTTGGGACAGAGTAATCTCCCAATTGTAAATGGATGTTAAAACTAAAGAATTTAGAGGTAGAAATCTTATAGCAGGAAAAAGGAGTGCCACCTATTCTAGCCACTCAGTTTCACTCTAAGCACAACAAAACTGCTAGGTGAGATATTTTGGTGTACATCAAACACAAAAGTTGTGCTCTTCCTTACAGCAACATACTGTACCTGTTTTCTCTTAGTAACATAATGTAAATGGCCATTTCAGAGGGCATGTTTTGTGACAGCACGTTTTTAAATCCTCTTGCCCATCTCCTGCTCTTTTTTTAAGCAAAGATTTCTGAACACTTGGCATGAAACAGGCCTGCATGTCTGCCTGTTAAAGCATGCTGCATTCTTTCTCATGGTGGCACAGGGACTCACGGAAGCAGAACCACTTGCATGGACTCAATTAGTAATGTTACCAGCTGCTGAAAATCCCGTGTGGTGGACGTAAAG